GCACTAAGGGAACACTGAATGACCTGCTGGTTTTGTCCATAAAACTACTCGTCTAAGATTACCACAGAGTCAAAGATCTCTCAGCAAAATTATGCAACAGTTTAGGCACTGTTGCCCCGATCAGATCAGTGAGCTGGGATCTTTTACTCTAAACATGAACTACTGTTACAGCAACAGACATGGACTACATGCCCCACACAACAACTCAATGTCCACTATGTGAAGCAGACAAACACATGCCTGCTCCTCTCGTTAACAGAGATAAACTGGTGGCATGTTTGTTTTACATCTGTACTGTCCAGTCTCTCCTGGTGGACATGGTAACACGTTATTCATGGTTGCATACAACTTTAGACTGATGTGGGCCAAAGCCTAAAACGATGTGCCGGGAGTTTGCTGTTGTTTTGCACGGCTACATTCTCGCCTGAAAATTTTTTAAAAGTTTATTTTGCAACCCAGAAAGAGTAATAAGAGGGGCATGTATGGCCTAGCACAGCCTGTAACATTATTATGATGGACAGATTTTATGAGTGAACTTGACTTTAAGTGAGTCACAGGTTTCTTTGAAAAACACTTCCTTATATCCAGCTTCTTCCTCTTTGCTGCCGTCCTCCTCTCCTCCTCGCAGCAGGTTTGCCGCTGCTGAAACTAAACAGAGCTCCCTGAAAGGCTCAGCCAATCACATTGGCCATATTTGTCACATGACGTAGGACTCCAGTAGAGGACGTAATTTAACTCTTTCTGCACCGCTGGGTGAGACACTGACAGATCGTTTTTTTTGTTGTTGTTTTTTATTTTATTTCTATCGGTTTTGTTTTGTTTTTGTTTTATCCCCACCAAAAATTATTGGTGGGGATAAAACAATAATCGCTGGATATTGGTGGGGACATGTCCCTTCCGTCCATGCCAAATCTACGCCCTTGCATAAATCTCATTAAACAAGACTGATGTTACAGAGTGTGTGTGCGTCTGCGCCTCACTTCCTGACATGTCTTCTGTAAATGTCTGAGAGCTCACAGCTCAGGCTGACTGTGTAGCAGCAAAGAGCCAAAAGCAAACATGAACCCGATGACTTCATGCATGAATGTGGCTTCAGAACGAAGGCTCTGCAGCATTAACACCGCTCCCATGTTCAAAGCCTTTAAGGACTTTGTTGCTGGTGTGAACTGGTTATCCTCTCACTGGATTGGAGCAGCTCTGTATGACATACTGTTCCCTCATTACTGGGAGCTTTGTTTAATATGAAGAAGAACTGCTCCTTCTTCATCCTGTCGCACTCACCGCAGAGGCAAACAGGATATTTCGTATCCACTGCAACAGATTCAACTCGTGAAAACCAGCCAATCAGAAAACAGCGCAGCCTTACAGAGACAGGAGCTGAGAGTGAGGCGCGAGACAACACAAATGTTCCTTCTGCTGCTGGTCTGACTCCAGTCTAACCAGCATGAATGGTCTGAATGGGTTTCTCACCACACACTGGTCACAGTCTCGCCCGGTCACCAGACGTTTACAGAAACAACTTCCTGTTTCTCTGTCACAGGGGTTTCCTCCAGGTAGAGTTCCCAGAGGACTGCAGGTACACGCTGTCCAACACAGTAACACACAAAAGTACATCACCAAGGCAACGCAGCTTCATT